TAAATATACTAGTTCCTTTAAATGGAAAGTATTTTAAAGTAGCTACTGATGATTTTAATTTTATTTGGAAATTATATCATAAAACAGGTACAGAGCTACCACTCCTTCCTTCAAATTTGGCAAAACAAAGCACTATTTCCCAGGTTTTCTCTAGTGCAGTTATCTTTTGTCTCTCCCAGGACACAATAATAAAAGCAAAGGGATCAGTGAGGCATAAATACACACACACACACGCACATACACACACACACACACACACACACACACACACACACCTCACAGGAGAGGTGACAGCAAAAACACAATGAGGGAAGCTAGAAGGCAGGTGAGTGAGTGGTAACTGTCTTAGCTGACCCAGAAAACAGAACCCTAGGCTGATAAAGAGGTAGGCCCATTTGACCTCTCAGCTCCAGGGTGGCAGAGTTACTGGAAGCCCTTGCAACTGAAATAATATTAACTAAAGCAATAGTTCTGGTGACTGGTGATCAGGCCATGGTAAGCTCATTTACATGAATAAAACTAGTTAATAACATTTGTATGCAGGCACACAAAGCATTTTTGGAACCATTTGAGGAAGGAGGAGAAGAATTGGAGGTCTTTGTTGTAGTGCTTGTGTAGACAGCAGGGAGAGGGTATGTCCAGAGGTCTGGGGAGGAAGGGCTGTGATGGGGGAAGGATGCTGCTCATCAGTGTCCACAGAAAAGTGTCACAGAGAGAAGAAGATCACTCACAACTTCCCGTACTGTAAGTTGCTTCCTGATGGTGTTAGTTATCTATAGTTTCTAAGGGTCAGAAATCCAGGAGAGGCTTAGCTGGGTGGTCTCATGAGGATCAGGGTCTCATGAAGTGGCAGTCAAGCTGTCAGCCAGGGCTGCACTATCTGAAGCCTTGAGGGGCTGGAGGGTTCACTTCCAAGATGGCTCACTCATGGCTAGTTGTCTCATTTCTCCTCCATGTGGCCTCTGATCCTTCAAGACCTCTCCAGCAGGATAGTCTAGACGTCTTCCTGTGACTATTGAGCTTCGAGAGAGAGAGGGGGCCAGTGAACAAGAAACAGCACCTCCATGATGGAAGCTGCAGACTTTTTATAACCTAAAAAGTGATTTCGGAAGTGACATCACATTAATTCTGCCACATTCTAGTTGTTGCTCAAGGGGAGGGGATTACACCAGGACATGAGGATCAGGAGATAAGATTGGAGGTCATCTTAGAGGCTGCCTACCACTGACCTAATGGGTAGGTTAAAGTTTTGTTTCCCCTTCCTGTTTAGGAAATGTAGGGCCCTCTCCTTCTGAGGTTCCATGTGGAGCTGAGGAGGAAGCACTAGATCAGAGGTTCTGATCATTTGGTCTTCCTCTTTGTCCCATTTTATCATATCTCCTTGTCGTTTTTTAATCCTTTCGTATTTTGGCTTTTTGTGTGGGGAATCAATTATTCTTAGACTTCCCAATAGACCTCCATGGGGGCCAGCCACCCAGGTCTTCAGTTTGACCTAGTTTCTTTCTTGGCTGGGTTGTGGGAGGCTCCAGAAGATGTAGGATACCCTCCACTCTCCCTCACCATGAGAGTCCAGGAGAGGCAGGATAGGATTGGGACCTACAACTAGGGCCATCCTGACCTCCAAAATCTTTTTACCACTAGTCTCAATTCCCTCTCTCCTCCCTCCTTCTCTGGGCATCTCCAGTAACTTTTCTCTGGATACAAGATAATTGCTCTACATGAGACTCTCTTCTCCTGCCTCAACATTCCTAAGAGGAAACTTGGCAAACTGAAACTGGACTAGGATGAGATACAACTACGCCTTTAAGATTTCCACGTTAATACAGGTCCCCCACCACCCCCACCACCAGACATCATCTTCATTTTGATGGACATTTTGAGCAAGAAGATCTCTGTTCTGTAGACCATCTTTCAATGTGACTTCCTTTTGCCCTATTCTCACCATGAATAGAAGTGATGATAATAAAAGCAATACCTAACATTTACAGAATTACATGCCAGACACTATTCTAAGTGTTTTACTTGATTTAACTCATTCAGTCTCACAACATTACTTGGATCTGGCCAGACATCCTATGAAGGACTTAATATTATCCCCAATTTGTAGATTGGGAAACCAAGGTTAACTAATTTGCCCAACGTCACACACACATGTTCGAGCCAGTATTTAATCTTAGGATTCTCAATCCCTGAAATATGCTACATTTTGTTTACTTCCATTCAATATTAACTTCACTATCCATCCCAGTGGATGCTTATGATAACCTCTGATAAACCCTCTCTTGTGAAGAGAAGCCTGGAGATGAGGTAAAATGTCATAAATTGGTCTAGTTGAGATACATCTACCAAGCTGAGATTGCACTGTTCACTTGGGTGAGTTCTTCTCAGGTAAACAGAGTAAAGGTGATGGGGCCCGTGTGGCCTAATGCACAGAAAGAATGCCATATTGAGGACTGAAGGATTCTTACAGTGGTAAAAGCCTGGCTATGACATGTCTAGTTGTGGAAGAAGGAGAATCTGTTACAGAAAACAATTTTTTTTTATAAGTATATACAGTAAGGAGAAAATCTGAGTCTATGCTCTGAGATGGTTTCTGATCAGCAGGAGAATTTACATGGAGCCCATACAGGCTGGGTTAACTATATAACAGTGAGGTTATAGACAGTGGGTTAATTTCCTCAATGTTGGTGATCAAATTAAATTTCCTATGAAAACAGAGAAGATAACTTTCAGTGAAAAAACATATTTTTCTAAAATAAACATAATCTAAAAAGAACTATTTCCTGTAAGGTTGTGTCTTAGTTATCTAGTGCTGCTATAACAGAAATACCACAAGTGGATGGTTTTAACACAGAGATGTTTATTTCCTTACAGTAAAATAGGCTAAAAGTCCAAATTCAGGGTGTCAGCTCCAGGGGAAAGCTTTCTCTCTCTCTCAGCCTTCTCATCAGTGTTCCCTCGGACCAGGAGCTTGTCAGTGCAGGGACCCCCGTCCAAAGGATGCACTCTGCTCCTGGCACTGCTTTCTTGGTGGTATGAGGTCCCCCTCTTCCCTCTGCTCACTTCTGTCTTTTATATGTCAAGAGATTGCCTCAGGACACAATCCAATCTTGTAGATCGAGTCCTGCCCCACTAACACAACTGCCGCCCATCCTCCCTCATTAACTTCATAGAGGCAGGATTTACAACATATAAGAAAATCACACACTACCGGGAATCATGGCCCAGTCAAACTGATACACACATTTTTGGGGGGACATAATTCAATCCATGACACGTTGATTAAGCAAGCCTTAAGATACAGGCTGTAAACTTGATGACAACTTGGGAAGAAACACCTTGATAAGGTAGCATATGGATCACAAAAGACGTCCTGTGCTTTCCTTGTAAACCTTTACCATGAGCAGTAATTATGTTTACAAGAGAAAGAGCAGGTGTACATTTAAACTTAAAAGCAGAGTTTTCTCATCACCTGGCCCAACTCCACCTTGGCTGACAATCCTTAATCTATTGTGTTCCTTCAGCCAGCATCTACAAGTACTTCCTAACTTAATTGGTATTACCTCATTAAAATAATATCTAACCTAGACCTTGTGCCAACAATGTTTACTCAGTCTTGTGTTTTTCTCAATAAATACCATTTGACTTTTGTCTCTCTATTAACCAACATAACTCCACTATGTAACTCCAATAAACAATCATCTTAACTGCAGTACCCCTGGGAAGGTTCTCATTTTATCAGCCAAATCATAATATGGCCATGATTGATTTATAAACATAATATTCTTAATTATAAAAATTCAGAGCCAAATAAAGTCAGTTTAAAAAAAACTTTAGACAAAAACATTTTAAAATATAATGATTAACCAAATATAGAGGTGGAGGTGCTGCAATCTGGCTTTTGTTCCATCCTGCCATCATAGGCAAGATGGGTGAATTGAGAAATATTTATCCAGAGCCTATGCTGTACTGGGCAATGTGCTGGGTGCTAAGGATGTACTTATGAGTAATGGAGAAGTGTCTGAACACGGGTCTAGAAGCATAAAACAGTCTGGTGTGTTTGATGAAAACGCAAGCAGCTGCAGTTTGCAGAAGAAATCATAGCATGTAACCAGGAGTGGCAGAAGATGACACTGGAGAGAGTAGGCAAGGACCAAAGGTAGCCAAGAGATATATGAGCTTGGAAACAAGAAGTAATTCCAGGGTTCAACTGAGAAATAGGGAGGGAGGTGAGCAGAAGAGAATGGGTCTGCAATATGTTAACGAGGTAAAATTGGTCATCTCTTGGATAAGGAATGAGAGAAAAGGACTAGTCTAAGGAGAATACTTTCCATCTTAGATAACTGGGCATGAATGAATTGAGAGAAGAGAGAAGGGAAAGCTGGGCAAAGGGGAGAGGAGTCAGTGAGTGTGGGAGGAAGAGTGCATGGGTGGAGGTGCGCAGTGCAGCTGTGGACCCACTGAGTTAGGGGTCGTGACAAATTCAGGCCTGCCATGAGGGTGTGCGTGTAAAGAGTGTGGGAGAGGATGCAGCCAGAATTGAATCTGGAGGGGACAGTGTTTGTACTTAAGGTAAGAACAGTCCAGTTTGCTCTTCCATTCAATAATTTGCTGCTCCGTGTAACAATGGCACTTGTTTCCCTCTTCCAAATCCTTTTTGGAATATAGATTGTTTTTGGCATCTGCTGAGGAGAGGTTAAAGAAGAGGGCTTCACAGGCAGCCAGACCAGCATTGGCATTATGGAACCACCATGCAATGCTTTTCCAGGAATGTTAAAACCACAGTCTGCATCAGCCGTCCCCAACAGTGTTCTCCCCTCTCAACCAGGTGTGTCTCTACAAATTCAGGGCATCAGAGCTGAGAAGCAAAGGAATAAGGGGGAAACCAAGGGCCCTCAAATAAGAGGAATTATGTTAACTTTAAATCCTAAAGGAATGGCAGAACTAAGATATATGTAAAACTATACAAATAAAAAGACCTTTTCACCCATATTCAGATCCAGCTAATTTAGTTAACGAAATTGAACAAATGCTAAGGAGTACAACACATTATGGTGCTTGCTAAGGTGGGTACAAAATGAGCAAGTCAGTCCATTAACTTAAGGTATACAAATCCATGGAAGTGGAAGGGTTGATCTCCCTGCATGAGAGTGTAGAAAAGGTACAGGACTGAGAAGAGGATCCAGATGCCCTGTCTTCATCCAAAAAGATGGAGTCTCCCAGGACTTTATTCAGGATAGTCTTGGTGTCCTTGGCAACCATGTCAAGATACAGTGTGTGTTTTACCCACCTGACGTAGTGGGTAACAAAGCCACCAAGGAATGGGATGTAGCTAAAAATACTTCTTAAGTAATAGGCTGTATTCCAGTGTATCCAAGGAATCAACTGCTCCTGTGGGCTGAGAGTCTGCAATTCCTGGGACTTCATGATGTTCTTGTACTCAGTGGCTGCTGTCCTCATTCTCTGTGCCACCTGCTGGAGAGATTCATCATCCACACCAAAGAGTAATTTGAAGGTTTTCAGACACTCCTCTGAATCATCTGGATCCTGAATGCCAAGGGTCTTCTGGAAAGACTCTGTGTATATTCTCGCCCGCAGGGAGGTCACTTTGTCATTAATGATCTCCTCAAAGGTGTGGGACAGCCTCTGAAGGGGATCATCACATCTGATATGGATGAGGTCCATTTGCAATTTGTTCCTGAGTTTTGGGAAGTCATGCAATAAAGGGTCAAAGTTAGAGACCAGGAATATGGGGGGCTCACACACCTGCTCCTTATGGAGATCTTCTAGGATATTCTCTTGGATATTCTTCAAGAGTTGCTCCTCCCTGAGCATGCTTGTGCTGAGGTCCCTGTCCAGTTTGGTCCAGACAATGTAGAACTTCTTTCCCATCCCCTCAATGGTTTTGGCAAGCATCACATGATTCATGCTGAACTGTTCTGATGCAATGATGATGAAGAGGTTGTACTTGTTGAACTCCATTTCCGTGACATATTCCTTCAGGCTCTGTGGGGAAGTCCCCATGCCAGGCAGGTCCCAGAGCTCCACGTTTGGAAAATCGGAGGACAAGTAAGAGGCAGGTGTTTCGGTAGTTCTCACCACTCCAGTGGGAGCCGAGGCCTCCTCCTCATGTCCAATGCCCCGAAGAGTGTTGATAAAGGAAGACATGCCATTGCCGGAGTCCCCTGTCACAGCGATTTTCACTGGGGTGCTGGATGCTGTCTTCAGAGTATCCTCGACCACAGAAACCACCTCCAGCAAGTTCCCATCTGCTAAAGCCTTCTCTACGCTCATGGCTCCTGCCTCAGGTAAAATACTCCAACCCGTGTGGTAAGGCACCGCAGAGGGGAAAGATGCAGAGAATGGGGTGTGAGGGGACACTGGGTACTCCTCCATGTCAGTGGGCAGTGGAGTGACCTGCAGATGGAGGAAGAGAAAGGACGTTAGGCTGCACAAGGCAAGATAGGAATCATCAGATTTAACATCCCAAGCCCAGCATTTGGATCCACAACCAAGATGACAGCAATGACATTTGGATTAGAAATAAAGAAACAAGAGGGTGCATGCAAGTGACACATGCACTTGGGGATGGGTAGCCCCGAGGACTGCCAACCAAAAGATCAGCAGTTGGAACCCACCAGAGCAGCTCCATGAGAGAAAGATGTGGCAGTCAGCTTCCAGAAAGCTTTACAGCCTTAGAAACCCTATAGAGAAGTTCTACTCTGTCCTATAGGGTCGCTATGAGTTGGAAACAACTTGATGGCAACAGGTTTGGTTTTTTGGTTTTAGCCCTAAGGAACGTTCTGGGGCTCAGGAATGTTTAGCCACCAGAAACTAGGACACAGTCATGGAACAGTTCTTCCCTCAAAAGTTCCAGAAGGACTGGGTATGGCTGAGACCTTGATTTTGACTTCAGGCCTCCAGAATTGTGAGAAAATAAATTTCTGTTCTTTTGAGCCACCCACTTGTGGCATTTTGTCATGGCAGCCCTAAGAGACTAAGACAGTACATAAAAGTCCTCAATGGGTTTGTCTCTCTGGGTCAAGAATAATTTTTTATTATTTTTACCAATACTGTGAAAAATACTTTTTCCTCACCCTCACTACATTTTTTCATAAAAAATTTCAGTGACTTTCACATGACTGCCATACCTAAAAAGTGCCTGTCCTTCATCTCCTTATTTTCAGTGACTTGCACATGACTGCCATACCTAAAAATGCCTGTCCTTCATTTCCTTCAAATTCTAAGTGAAAACAAATTTTCCAAATACACTCTTATGACCACAACCTCCACCAGACTGAACTCAAAACAACTAGATGGTGCCTGGTTATTATCACTGACCACTCTAGCAGAGATCACAACAGAGGGTCCCGGGCAGAGCAGGAGAAAAATGCAGAACAAAATTCAAATTCACATACACACACACACAAAAGACCAGGCTTGCTGGTCTGACACAGACTGGAGAAACCTCAAGAGTATGGCCCTCAGACCCTCTTTTAGCTCAGTACTGAAGTCACTCCTAAGGTTCAGGTTCACCCTTCAGCCAAAGATTAGTCAAGTCTATAGGGCCAAGATAACACATGAGGAATGGGATTCATAATTCAATTTATGCACGGGAGACTAATGGGCACACCAGCCCAAAAGCAAAGATGAGAAGGTAGGAAGGGGCAGGAAAACTGGACAAATGAAAACAGGGAGCCCGGGGTGAAGAAGGGGAGAGTGTTGACACATTGCGGGGTTGGCAACAAATGTCACCAAACAATTTGTGGACTGTTAAATGAGAAATTAATTTTTTCTGTAAACTTTCATCTAAAGCACAATTTAAAAGAAAGAAAGAAATAAAGGGCTGCAGTGAACTGGGTAAGGGACGAATAGCACAGTGGTGGGCAATGCATGAAGGGGCAATGCTGGTTGGACATGAAGAGATGGAGCCCTGGGTGGCTCCAGGCTGGGAAGGCTTTCTGAAGTGGGTGGGTGACCTGCTGGAAGTCAGCTCTGTGGTGTTAGGATAACTTTCTTCTCTTTAATTCTGTTTGGGCAGCACACGGTTTACTCATGAGGGAATTCTTACAAGGAGAGGAAGGAGTAGTTGGATTTGGTTAGAGGAAACTGGACATGATGGGAAGACTTTTTACTCTCCTCTTAATTCTCTAAGAGCCCCTTTGCCCTGCCCTGACACCCCTAGTCTTCTTCAAGTCCTATCTGGCCCCTTCCAAAGAAACAGCTGAGTCACTGGCTAATGGTGACCCAGGGACACGGAGGGGTCTGTCTTAGTCATCCAGTGCTGCTACAACAGAAATACCACAAGTGGATGGCTTTAACAAAGAGAAATTTATTTCCATATGGTTAAAGTAAGCTAAAAGTCCAAATTCAGGGCATCAGCTCCAGAAGAAGGCTTTTTCCCTCTGTCGGCCTTCTTCTCTTCTGTGTTCCCCCGGACTAGGAGCTTCTCTGCACAGGGACCCCAGTCCAAAGGACGCGCTCTGCTCCCGGCACTACTTCCTTGATGGTATGAGGTCCCCCTGTCTCACTGCTCACTTCTGTCTTTTATATCTCAAGACTTTCCCTCAGGATACAATCCAATCTTGTAGACTGAGCCCTACCTTACTAACACAACTGCTGCCCATCCTCCCTCATTAACATCATAAGAGGCAGGATTTACAACATATAGGAAAACCACACAATACCAGGAATCATGGCCGGGGCAAACTGATACACACATCTTTGGGGGCACATAATTCAATCCATGACAAGCTCCCAGAAGGCCTCACAGCTGTCCAGGCCCAGAAAGCCATGCTCCTTGTGAGTTCCAGGCTTGCTTCATAGGCTTCGGGCAGGGGGTTTTCTTCTGACCCTGGCCGAGTTATGGATTCTGCTTCCATGGAAGACTGTCCCTACTCTGGGATTATGACAGGCTCAGTGTTCTTGTCAGAGACTCCCAGGGGGCCATGCCAGTCAGAAAGGAGAGAAGGTGGGCAGCAGCCCCTGAATCACTCTCCCTGATTTGCCTCAATGTGACCAGAACCTACACCAGACCCCATATCACCGTAACTTTTTCTAATAGATCAAGTGAAAAAACACTGGCTCACAAATAGGTTACAAGTCCCCAAACACCTCTTTCTTTCATGCTACAAACAGTAACATAGTTCTGGTTCTTCATAATTCCTATTAAATATTTGATGACCAGGCCCATATAGTAATCTGTATATTTCCCTAATGTTCTGTCCCTGTTTGAAACTTAACTGAGCTCATCTGGCCCAAGAGCACAGGGCAAAATAAGACTGAAATTGCTGCAATATATATAAAGTAAGCCACCTCCTTTTTGACCTCCCCTGGGCTTCCATTAGACTTGTGATTTGGGCCCTTTCTGCTCTCCTTCAAGGTGGTGATTGAGCAACTGATCATTATTTCATCACAAAAATCTAGCCATTCCAGTGGCCCCAAGCCACCAGGTGTTAGGGACTGATTCAAAGACAATTTTTTTGCTCCTACCGAGGCCTGGCAGTCCTGTTTCACACTCTCAGTGTGCACACATAGCTCACACACTTGCATTCAAGTCTGTACACACGCTCACACATGCTCACTCACACCAGCACAAGTTCACATTTCCACACTTATGCTGGTGCTTACACTCCCTGACAGTCTGTACACATGCACACACTCACTCATACACGCTGACACACGTTCCCACACCCACACTCACTCATGCGTGGAGTACATACACTCACACATGCACAGAAACAGAAGCACACACCTGAAACAAAGACATCACAAAACTATTTGCCCTTAAACCACTGTATACTGTGATCTATTCCATTCCATTCCTTTCCACTCCATTCCATTCCCTCAAGTTTGTTTGTTTGTTTGTTTTAATGCTGATCATAACCCACTAAATAGACTTCATGACCTAAGGCATGTAGAATGAAAAACACCTATTAGAGTATTCCCCCACGCAGTTCATGCCACACTCAACCCTCCTGGGCCCCAAACACAGAGATTCATGGAGAAGTAAAACCTGGCCGCAGATCAGATGTGGAGTCGGGGGCATCAGAGACCTTCAAGAGACCAGAAACCAGGGTGGACTAGCGTCCCAGGCTGGTTTTCCATTTGATCATTATCAGGAAAGGCTGAGGGAAACTTAACATGCTGATTTACCCCAGGAAAGCTTGATTAAATTCCACGTGATCGATGAGGATGGTTCTGGACAGGGTATGTTCTAGGCAGACAGTGGAAAAGCCCCTCTCCTACGTCATTGAAGTCTTCCACAGGATCTGGTGCCCTGCCATAGAGACAGGCTTCTCCACTGTCGGGCACCAGGTAATCAGATGAACTGAGAGACTAAAATGTCAGTTGATACCTCTGCCCTGAATCTTCCCTGGGTGGTCCAGCCTGGGGCACTAATGGACTCTTACAATTCCAGGCTATCCCAGCCGTTGCCTGGAGCTGGTTCTGATCTCAGAAGGGGTTTCTATGCAGAGAATCAGGAGATTAGGTGTCATGACTCCACCTTTTAATGTCTTTATGTTAGGACGGTGATAAGTCAAGTTGTAATCTTAGGAGCCCCCTCACTTACCAGCTCCTGGAAGCACAGGGGGCACCCTGCTGGGATGTCAGTGGATACTCCTGGGTCTTCACCCCTTTCCAGGGGAGTGTTTGCTGCCCTCCCAGGCAGAGGCGGTTCCCTCCGGCACCTTTCAAAACTCGAATCCAGGCCAGTTTACTCAGGAAGGACGGGGGTGAGTTGTGGGGAGCTGAGGCTGTCCGCTGGAAAACAACAGTCCTGTTGTCCTGGGCTAGGTCTGAAGTTCTGCTCAGATCAGTGCTCTGCTCTTTCTAGGTCTGAGTCTTCCCCTCCTTCTCCAGCCCCACGTGGGGGTGGGCCATCAAAGGCATGCAGATTTCAGTTTCTGTTCCTGGAAATCACTCTAGTTCCCGTGAATGGGATGCTGCAGGGGCGGGGAGGAGGGGGTCACACATTCTTCCCCAGGCACGGTTCTCAGGGGAAGGGTTGGGGGGGCGGCGGGGCGCTGCCCGAGGGCGGGGGCATCCGTGGAAGCCCTGCCCTTGAACAGAGGTAGACCAGCGCCAGCAGAGCACGGGGTCAGGGTGTTTTGGTACCAGCCCATGTCGCCTCCCCGCCCCCACTCGCATCCTGAGATGTTGGCGCTGAATCCTGTGCGAAATCAACGTTCAGCCCCCTAGGAGGCCTGGCCCGCAGATAAATGCAGACCCTCCTGGGGAAGTCGCTACCGGCGTCTCCTAGCTCCAGTGTTGAGGGAGAGGAGTCGCCACCGGCCTCTCGTAGCTCCAGTGTTGACTCGCCCCCACCCAGCTCAGCTCCTGAGTGAGGACGCTCCACCCTGCTCTGAGCTCCTCTGCCCCGCCCCCAACCTCTGTTCCTCTAATAAGCACTGACCCTTCCAGGGCCCCTGCCTCCGATTGCTGTCCCCTTCTGCCCACTGGATTCCCCTGATTCAGCACATTCTGGGCCTCTACACTTCTTTCTCCCTCTGTCCTTCCATCACATCTGCCTGTAAAGTCCACCCTGAATAAAGCTAATGATTCCCCCTCCCCCTGGCTGTGCCTAGCAGCTGGATCCTGCAGGTGTACTGAATCAGAATCTACAGTTTAACAAGATCCCCAGGTGATTCTTATGTATGATAAATTTTGAGAACCACTGCCGTACTAGCGGTGCCCTGGTGGTGGTGGCGCAGTGGTTAAACATCTGGCTGCATAACCAAAAGGTCAGTAGTTCAAATCCACCAGCCGCGCCTTGGAAACCCTGTGGAGCAGTTCTACTCTGTCCTATAGGGTCACTATGAGTTGGAATCCACTTGTCGGCTATGAGTTTTTAGTAGTTCTCAAGATTGGTCCCTAACCAGCAGTGTTATCATTGCCTGGGAACTTGTTAGAAATGCAAATTTACAGCAGGAGTTTGAATCAGAACAAACCAGTTCAAAGCCCTGCTATTTACTTTCACTTCCCCTGTCCTTGCAGGGTCTCTTGGATGTATTTCTCTTTCTATTTGAGGACTTCCACCAAGAGGGTTCCCATTAAGCCAAAACAACTGAGTGCTCACAGCACACTGAGGAACTGACCCATGAGTAAAGAAGCCATCTTGGAGGTCCAGCCCTCTCAAGACTTCAGCCCATTCACCTTCTGTCTACACAGGCATGAGACACTTCAGGTGCAAATCACCTAGCAGAGCTCAGGAAATGCACAGCACCTGAGAGAAAGTAATTATTTCAGACCACTTTGGAAAAACTACGGAAGCCTTGTCTGCCTGCAAATATTATTGCTATTTCCCTCTCTCTCTCTTTCACACACACACACACAGACAGAGAGAGAGAGAGAGAGAGAATTAACCTTCTGTTGGCCAAGATGATCAATTACCCACCATTTCCTTTGTAACTGGGATAAGGGTCCTGGTTCCCCACCTATGAGACAATGGAGGTGACCTAGCAAAGACCCTGGAACAGGGAGATAGGGCTTGTCTCAGCCCCTGTTCCTACATGCCACCCCAGCCCCCTCCTGTCTCACTTATTCCTCTGTATCGTGGAGACCCATGGAGATTCTGAGGGAGGAGGGCAGTCCCAGTCTCCTCTCATTCCTGACCTCTCTGCCCTCATCATCCCTGCAAAGCATCTGCAGAAGTAAAAGTATCACATGTTCTCCCAGAATAATGAATCACTGACTTCAGTTGTCTTGAATAGGGCCCCCACCCTCACCCAGTTCTTCAGCATCTATAACTTCATACTTTTGGCTCAAACAAAAATTAAGGAAGGTGTTCGTGGTCAGGTACAAGATGAGTGTTTGCCTCACAGCAGCTTGCTGCCCTTCTGGCTATGTCCCTGAGGTTACGTGCTGGACCCAGCAAGTCTGTGCTGTGAAGACCTCAACTCAGATGAGCTTCTCCTACCTGGGACTAATGCATAGTGTGCTTCAGTTATAACCAGCATTCTTTAAATTAAATACAATAAATCTCTGTTTAAGTGACAGGTGATTAGGATTGTTACATTTGCTTTTGGCAAACCCCTGAGGAGTGGATACTAATCTCCTAACAGTCAAGCATTGGTTAAGAGGACAAGGAGTGGGTGGGGGTGGGGGGTCTTTGCCTTTGTTTCAGATGGGCAGTATCCTTTCTGCCATCAGGCCTGTGAGGGTAAGGCAGCGAACAGACGCTCCCAGTGGATTGGGTTAGACGACACTATTAGTTTCCTAGGGCCCTGCAAAAAATTACCACAAACTTAGTGGCTTAAAACAACATAACTTTATACTGCCACAGTTCTGGAGACCAGAAGTCCTCAGTCAAAGTGTTGGTAGGACCACACTCACTTTGAAGGCTGTAGGGGAGGATCCTTCTTTGCCTCTTCCAGCTCTTGGTGGTTCCTGGTGTTCCACAGCTTCTGGCAGCATCACTTCAATCTCGGGCTCCATCTTCACCTGGTCTTCTCCCCTGCTTCACTATGTGTCATCTCCTTTTCTGTCTCTTATAAGGACACCTGGCATTGGATTTAGGTGCCGCCATAATCTAGGATGACCTCATCCCAAACCCTTACCTTAATTATGTCTGCAAAGACCTTTATTGCAAATAAGATGACATCGGGAGGTTCCAGGTGGATATATCTTTTTATCAACCACTATTCAACCCACAGCAAGGGCCAAAAATTGCTTTCTCCTTCTGAGTCACTCCTTCCCTCACTTAACCAAGAAATGTCAGCTTTGTCTGTGTACAACCTCAGGGACCATACTGACCTACATGAAGATCCCCTTGGTGAATATACATGCACTAAGTAAATGGTATCTCAGATATGAATCATCACATCTTTAGAGCCCAATGCCAACCCAAGAGATTAGTAAATATTTGTTGTAAAGAAAGGACCACATCCATTTTCTATTTCAGCATCTGCTTATATAGTGAACCCTGCTTGCAGGGATATTTGGTTTTCTATACCAGCTGCTTGAAACCCAGCTTACCCACAGAGCCAGCCTGAGGGCTCTAAGACACCCAGTTTCATGCCTAATTTCCCTGCTCCTCACTCCCTGTTCCCTGCTTTGCTTACCCGGACCCTGGTGTTGTCTGACCATCACTCATTCCTTGATGGGAGCCTGGTACTCGGTCTCCACATTTAGGGCCTTCTGGCCTGCCAGGTCACAGGTGTGTTAAGGAATAACCATGTCAATATCACATGCAGTTAGAGGCTCCTCCAGAAGGTGGGGGGAAGATGAGAGGAGGCCAGTGTATCAGAAAATGCTGAATTTCAGTTGCTCGCCTGGACCTTGTGAGTTTCTTTGGGCCTAGTTCCAAATCATTTCAGGAGTTCTAAGAGACAAATTACCTTTGAGTGGTGAACCCAAACCTAGAAAAGATGCCCAAAGTGCAATCGTAGTATCCCTCTTTGTAGACTCTGCCTGGATTCTTCTGTGAATTCCTAACTTTGTGCTGGGGAAGAAGGCTCTTCTGGAGAGAACTGTGCGCCTCCATGTGGAGCTTGTTAAGAATTCCTTTTCCAGGGACAGCGGCTACACTGGTTACCAGGGAAGCAAGTCTGCTTGGTGGGTGCCCCCTTAGTGAATAGCCCAGATTTGTTCTCTCTCACCTGTCCTGAAAAAGCTGGAGGACTTCAGAACAATTAGGTCTGACCGTGGGACTGCGACATGTACATTCTGGGCATCAGGCTCCAGCTCGCTGAGGTTCATGGCCACTCCAGACCACAGGCAATGCAAACTGGGCACCAGCCCTGGAGTGATCCTCACTCCAGGGAGCAACTCAGTTCTGGAGAGCCACTGGAGTGAGTGGACCTTTACGTCACCACTACCAATAGGCCCCACTAGTGCAAGGGAGCCTGACACTCGGAGCTATTTCTTACTCTACTACTTACAGATTTGTTGGCTTTCTGTGTGTGTTCAACTCACATCCACAACTAGATATCAAGTTCACATTTGTGTTCTCTGACATGCTGCTCATTCTACCAGGAATTCCAGTCCCTCTGGTCCCCGCCTTCTCCCTTTTTTAACCTCTCAGTCTTTCTTAGCACTGATGGTCTCAGGGTCAGACAGTGTGGTTCTCTACCTTCCTCAGAACAAACATGGCTACATCTAATGAACTGACTGCAGCAGGGAATTCTGGTCTTGTTTTAGAA